GCTGATCTAAATCATTTCTTCACCTGGGGGGGGGAGGATCTGGGGAATCGGGGAGGGGGAAACTCTTGGTTGCACCGTTCTCTTCAATACCCCTTCTGTGTCCTCTGGCATCGCCCCCCTGCTTTAATTCCTGTGCCTGGGTTGCTCCCCATCCTGCCCACCTACGAGCCTTGGCTAAGGGTCCCTTGGCAGCCCGTCTGTGTCTTCCCTCTAGTCACCTGCAAGAGTGACTGATGAGTGGCATGTTACACTCTCAGCCTGTCCCCTGTGGGCACCGTTCTCTTCAATACCCCTTCTGTGTCCTCTGGCATCGCCCCCCTGCTTTAATTCCTGTGCCTGGGTTGCTCCCCATCCTGCCCACCTACGAGCCTTGGCTAAGGGTCCCTTGGCAGCCCGTCTGTGTCTTCCCTCTAGTCACCTGCAAGAGTGACTGATGAGTGGCATGTTACACTCTCAGCCTGTCCCCTGTGGGGCTCAGTAAATTGACCTAAAACAGTTTTGATGTATCATTTTACCTCTTGCCCCGGGAGGATTCCTGATGCTGACCGTCCCCTGCCAAGGGTACCCAGTGCTTGTAATTCTGCATCTGTCTCTGTCTGTGGCTGGCGGCACGGGAAAACACGCTGGGTCCCCAGAGCTCAGACCTGCAGTTTGGCTTGAGGCATCCTCCCTCTCTCCCTCGCCCTGTACGCTGTTGGCTGTATTACAATGGTTATGACTTGAGACATCCTGAAAAGGACCTGGAGCAGTCACAGGAGCAAACCCTCCTAAGGAAAACAGGCTTTATGAGGGTGCCAGGCGCTGGGTGAAGGAGAGGGGCCCTGGAGCGGCTGTCCTCTGGCAGCTGGAGATGCGGGAGGTGGCGGGTGACCGGTCAGGGATGCCGTTAGCAGAGGCTGCAGTTGACTGTAGACGTTGCTTGGGAAGATGCAGCACAAGCGGCCGCGGGACCCTCGCCATGGCCCTCGCCAGCCCCCGGGAGCTGACACTGGCTGGCCACAAGCGCGGCAGCGGCGAGGGCTCTGCTGAGTTATGCCAGCTGCGTCCCTCCGGGCTGTGTCACCACGTCCTTGCTCTTACCGAGGAAGGAAGGGGAGTGCCGGTGTCACCAAGGGCTGCGTGGTGCCCAGAGCAGCAGTACTGAACTGGACCCGTACAGCTCCCATTCCCAGCTGCAATGGGATTGGGAGAGTTACAGGGGTGGGGGGGCAGGGGGCAGGAATTGTTTCTGGCTGGTTATAAGGAGTAAATAATGGTTTTCCTACTTGTATCTTTGATGCTAAAAGCAATTTATCTGGCGAGTCTGTTACACAGCAGATGTGTAACAAGTGGGAATTTGTAGCAATTACTTAGGAACAGTATAAGCCATCCTTTGAGGCACAGCACTGCGCACGCTGCTCTCCGCTGCCAAGTCCCCGTGCCCGTGACGTACGGGTGGCCTCTAGCCATGCTGCCCTCCGAGCCAAGTACCCCAGCGTCACCCCCGCGCTCAGATTTGCCCTCTGGAGTGATACCTTCCAGGAACTGCGTTCGGAGCCCAGCCTGGCTCCCTGAAACGCCCCAAGCGCAGCTCCTGCCTGCAGGGAGGGAGCAGGAGCTGCGCAGTCCCGTGGGGTTTGTCAGCGGTGCCTGCACCGGGAACGTTTGCTGCAGAGAGCCGACGGGCATCTGGCACTGTGGGCTGCGGGGTGTCACTGTCCCTGCCATCGCCAGCCTGGCAGAGGCAGCCGGAGGGAGCTGAGCTGCCAGCCTGCATCTTGGGGAAAAAAAAAAACAACTAATCAATTTGTGCGACGGTGTTGCATAAACTGGGGAAAGAGGTGGTCTAACGTTACAGGAGAAGGAGGGAGCCTGGCAGGTACGGCCGAGGCTCGGGGGGTGCCTGAGCAGGCTCCGAGGGGAACTGGGCAGAAATTCCTGCTTTAGGCAGGCAAAACCTTCCTGTGCAGAAAGATCGGCTCCCGAGCCCTGGCTGCTCAGGGAACTGACACATTTAAGAGAACCCAGTGTCTTTCTTCACTCTTTATTGTGTAAAAATAAAGTCAACAATTCATGTAATCTCAGCAATAAAATGGGAAAAGCATGAGTATCAGTAGAAACAGTGCATTTTCAGAACTGCTGATGCGGACTGGATGTGTAGTATATTGTAACCCATTCAAAACCCAAAGGAGACAGAGAGCAAGTAATAGGAAAAATGTACAGCTTTAGTTAGCAAAATAATGACAAATTAAGATACATTTATTCTCTCCCCCACTATACACTATATACATTGTGTTGACATCACACCCTTTTTTTTTTTTTGGCAAATCTGACGCACCTGGGACTGTAGGTGAGACCCTTTCCGTGGTCTTGTTCTTCTCAGCAGGTTGCGCTTGTCGCTTTGCTGATGTGAACAGGTTCTTAGGAGGAACTTAAATTAACTCACGATGGTTTGTGGTTGGTTTTTGTGTTTGTTTTTTTTTATTTGGTTTTTTTTTGTTTTTGTTTTTTTTTTTTAAAAGAGCACAGTTTAAAATACGCTGCCCTGAGCCGCAGTTCGTGTGAAGGTATCTCGATCTGGGGGGATGTGTGTGTGTGTCGCTGCTTGTGCTGCTCCTGCCTGTGCTGCTCTTCGGCTGGGCGCTGGCTCTCCGAAGCGGCGGTGGCTGGGCCAGCTCTGTGCTCCTGACCAGGGGCGGCCTTGGCCTTGCCCGGCTCCGTACGGGTCCCTCTACTCTGCACGTCTCTTTGCCACATCTTTGGAATTGGTTGGGGAGGCTCTGGAGCCCTGTGGGAATTCTCTGCCTCATCCTCCACTGCCGCCCAGGGCAGCCCTCAGGGGGTCAGTGGGGCAGGCTGGGGGGTGATTTCTGCAATCTGTAGTACAAACCAGGAGTTTAGAAAAGGAAACCATACAAAATGCATCTATTATTTCAAAATACGCTTCTTTATCTCTTTTTCCTGCAGAATCACAAAGTACTTTTATTTTTTCTCAGGGAGCACTGCTTAATTCTATATTTTTATCTTCATAAAAATACATTTTTTTTTTTTAATGGTAATAAACTTCCCTTTAC